AGAAGTAAAAGAGCTAGAATCTCTAAAGATTTTGGTGATGACTTTACTACAGTATTCACCCTCGAAGATCCAAAAAGTTTGCAGGAAGCATTAACTTCCGTAGATGCAGATTTTTGGAATGAGGCCGTTATAGATGAAATGGAATCGTTAGAAGCTAATAAGACTTGGCATCTAACAGACTTACCTCCTGGCTGCAAAGTCTTAGGTAATAAATGGGTTCTAAAAACGAAACGGAAACCTGATGGTGCAATCGAAAGGTTCCGAGCTCGCCTAGTAGTTAAGGGCTACAGGCAGAGAGAGAATATAGATTTCTTCGATACCTATTCACCAGTATCTAGAATAACATCCATTCGTGTAATGATTGCTCTTGCTGCCTTGAACAATCTCGTGGTACACCAAATGGATGTTAAGACCGCCTTTTTGAACGGTGATCTAGATGAAGAAATCTATATGGAACAACCAGAAGGGTTTGTTATCCCCGAACATGCCTCGAAAGTCTGTAAGTTAGACAAATCATTATATGGTTTGAAACAGGCTCCAAAACAGTGGCATGAGAAGTTTGACACTCTCGTTCTCTCACATGGCTTTAAGGTGAATGAAAGTGACAAGTGTATTTACTGCAAGTCAGAAAATAACACTTGTACTATCATATGTTTGTACGTAGATGACATGTTGATATTTGGTACAAATATTCACGTGGTCAATGAAGCAAAAGCCATGTTAAAAGAGAGCTTTGAAGTGAAAGATCTGGGAGAAGCAAAGTTTATGCTTGGAATCCAGATAACTAGAACATCAAATGGTTATTCTCTAGATCAATCTAGCTACATAGAGAAGATCTTGAAGAAGTATAACTATTTCGACTGTAAACCTGCGTGTACTCCGTATGATGCTAGTGTAAAGCTATTTAAGAACACTGGAGACAGTGTAAGACAATCAGAATATGCTAGCATCATTGGCAGTCTCCGTTATGCTGCGGATTACACTCGACCATACATTGCATATGTCGTGGGATTGCTTGGCAGGTTTAACAGCTGTCCTAGTAGAGAGCATTGGAATGCTATAGAGAGGGTCATGAGATACCTCAAGAGAACAGCAAACCTTGGTATACATTATCAAAGGTTTCCTGCTGTACTAGAAGGGTATAGTGATGCGGATTGGAATACCCTATCAGATGACTCCAAGGCAACCAGCGGGTATGTTTTCAACATCGCTGGTGGAGCTGTGTCTTGGAAGTCAAAGAAACAAACAATCCTAGCTCAATCAACTATGGAATCAGAGATGATAGCACTAGCAACGGCTAGTGAAGAAGCAAGTTGGTTGAGAGGATTGTTGTCAGAGATTCCCCTATGGGAAAGACCGGTCCCTCCGGTATTAATCCATTGTGATAGTACCGCAGCTATCGCTAAAGTTGAGAACCGGTTCTATAACGGAAAGAAACGACAGATTCGTCGTAAGCACAGTACTGTAAGAGAACTCCTAACGATAGGAGCAGTGAGGGTGGATCATATAAGATCCGAACAGAATCTAGCTGATCCTTTGACGAAAGGATTACCTAGAGAGAAAGTCCAGAATACCGCCAAGGGTATGGGACTTATGCCTACCGAACCACGGACTACAAGTGATGGTAACCCGACCCAATAGACTGGAGATCCCAAGAAATGGGTTCAATGGGTAATAACAAGTCATGAGTAGTATGCGAAAAGTTCATGCATAGTGAAGCATGAATCCCAAAGCAATGGAGGTTGAGTTAATAACTCTTAATGAGATCTATACCCTATGTGGGGTGGAGTACTTTACTTTGGGGGTACTCTTGATAGACTCACCTATGTGAATGTGGGAGTGGGGCCGCTCCCTATGGAACTTTGGAGGCACAAAGTTGCTAGAGCGTTCACTAAACCAGGGTAACGTGCATGGCCATAAACGCACGGGCTATGAAGAGAACACAACTCAATGAAAAGATCCGGTGTGCTACACTGTCTGAGATAGGGTTCAAGACTACGAGTCACCCTTATGAAATCGGAAGTGTAACCACTACGCTAAGGTTCAAATCTTCGCGATACCTTAGCTTATGCCCGATCTTATGGAACTGTTGATGCTCAGAGATAGTTTCAAAACTATTCAAGTGGGGGATTGTTGGAAATGAATGTATATGAATAGCTTTGAAAGCTATAGAGTCTCTAGTGGAAAAAACTACCACATTGGTAGTTTTACTTGGTGAAATGTGTATAAAGATAGGAGCCTCTCTCCCAAGGGCATGCCCCTTGGGGTGACCCACTTTTGTGGGAGAGGGAGGACCTAATGGACCACCACACACACGCGCGCGCGCGCGCCGTCCGTCCGTCCGACCGGTCGGTCGGTCGGTTGGTTGGTTGGTTCACTTGAGACTATATATATATTTTTGGAGAAATTCCGAACGAAATTAATTATTTAATAATTAATTATTAATCTGTTATTCTGAGGTATATTCCTAAGGATAATCGACTAAAACGGAATATTCGAAGGATAATCCCTCCGGGTTTATCTTAACCGACGGTTTTAATTAAGGAAGTAATTATCTTCCTTAATTAATCCGACTTATTCCCCAAGCAAGAGGGTATATTCCTAGGGGTTCGGCTCCTATAAATAGCCGCCTCCCCAGCCCCTCTAAACACATCACAACGAGCAGAAACACAATAGAGAGAGTGTTTAGAGAGCTTCGGTTTTCGCACAAAACCGCGAGTATTGAGAGGAGCTGTTTTATCCTGGAGACGACCGGTTGATAGTCTGCCGTGCGCATCGAAGGCAGTGCCGCGAACGTCTTAAAGAAAGCGACCTAGTCCGCGACTCAGCTCCAGATTCGGTAACCTCGTTCCTTTTGTTGTTCTGTACCTAACAGGTAGAAGTAGACGTACGCATACTCGCAGCGATTCTCCTCGTAGACTACTACGGCGGTGGCGGCAGAGTCGGACCTTGCTGCGACGGCGGAAGCAATGACGACTGGTTCTGATACGTCAGCGGTGAGGTCGGGAGAAGACGGGAGGAGGCAACTTCGAAACCCAGTCACCAAGCACTTGATGATATTAGTCCATTGACTTTCTCTGTTAGGAACACGATGAAGAGGCTGAGTGGTGGTGATTGTTGCCACTGTGTTGTTCTTGAGGAACCCGGTGAAGCTATTGAATGCTCTCGGGTCAATTAATCTGTTTTGTTTAAATTTTTGGCCACCGTATGAGTTTAGATTAGTGAATGACTACAAGGATCTATTGATCATGATCTCCGCCTGAATTAATAAGATCAAAGAGCGTTATGAATAGGAATTTGAGATACTTAGCTTAGTGGCTAAACGTCTTGGATAAAGAAACATGAGCCCGCAGGGCCAGGTTCGACGCCCACTTTGATAATTTTTTGTGAGGAGAATAAATTTAAGAAGTTTTTAGTGATTTTCTTTTCGGAGAGGAAGGTGGCAGGACTAGGAGAATAAATTTAAGAGGGCCAGGTTCGACGCCCACTGTTGATAATTTTACTGATTTCGTTTTCAGAAAGGAAGGTGGCAGGACTAGGAGAATAAATTTAAGCAAAATAAAAAGGGAAAAAGGGTCATTATAAAAAAGACAATAAAGAAGAGGATGGCCCCGTGTTATTCCTCTCTCGACTCCCCATCTAGAAAGAAATCAAAACAAAACCAAGCAGGGGATGGTCTGTTCCATATTAATGGGGGGAAGCTGAATTGAAGTAGAACGTAAACAAGAAGGGAAAGTCCTAAAACCCTCTTCTTTTTTGTGGCGGAGGCATAAAGAAACTTAAGGTAGAAGCGGAAGGGACAGTAGACAGAAATCAGGGGTCTAACCTTCACGTTTGAGACAAGGCTCTCTCAAGTAGGGATGGCAACCAAACCCGAACCCACGGGTACCTACCCGACCCAACCCGGTCAACGCGGGTAAAATCAATGTTGACGGGTTTTGGGTTGGGTTTGGGTTTAAACCCGTTCACTATTCACCGGGTTGGGTTGGGTTTGGGTTTAGGTAAACCCGACCCGTGGGTACCCGCCCACACATATAATTAATTTTCTCGGTATATTTAATATTTTAAGCAACTAATCTTATTTATGTTTGTGGAGACATGTCTAATTTTTTTCTTTCTAATTGTGTAGAATGAAGTTTGTGTTATCGAGTGGAGAGTGAAGAAACTTAATTGAAAGGAAGAAGCCTTCAATTAATATGTTATTTATGGATAATTTATGATTTACTTCAATTTTCTTGAGTTTTCTAGATTGCGTTGAACAATTTGTATAGTTAATTTGTGATTTGCTTGAATTTTCTAGAATAGTGTTTTAAATATGGATAATTTGTATTGAGAGATTGATATTTGACTTTAATTTTGATAGGAACATGTTATTGTAAATTTTTTACGACAAAAACCCGTGGGTACCCATGAACCCGCGGATACCCAGCGGGGTGGGTTGGGTTTGAGTTTTTCAAACCCAGTGGGTTTTACCCCGGGTTTTTTTCACGGATAAACCCATGGGTTTGGGTTTGGGTTTGGCAAAACCCGACCCAACCCGACCCATTGCCATCCCTACTCTCAAGTATCTTCTTGCCTCTTATGTCAACTCAAAAGGTTAGCTTTGCTCCTTAATTTCTCAATGCGTTTGTCTTTTGTAGAGTTTTACTGTGTGTTACTTGTGGTAATTTCAAAATACCAATAGTGGAAGAACGTGAAGTTTCCTGGCCACATGGTTCCAATTTTAGAGATGATTATTGAATAATGCTTAAGATTTAAGAGACTTTGTAAGGGATGTCTATTGTAACATTGATAGCAAGTGAGGGTTTAGATTGGAAAATTGATTTTTCTATAAATTTGTGTTGTACTTGCTATGTTAAGTGGGAGTTATGCAAAGCAAAAAAAGAGAACGGGGACTTGGGTGTTAGGGATATGGATTGCTTTAACAAAGCCTTGCTGTCCAAATGGCTTTGGAAATATGCAAAGCAAAAAAAGAGAACGGGGGCTTGGGTGTTAGGGATATGGATTGCTTTAACAAAGCCTTGCTGTCCAAATGGCTTTGGAAATATGCTACGGAGAGAGGGAGCTGGTGGAGACAGCTCATCGAGATCAAATATAAGGCAAGTAATTCGCAGTGGCAGAGCAAGCAATGCAGGAAGGGGTTCAGAAGCTCTGTATGGGCTAACATCTCCAGAGAGTATGGTGAGTTTTGTAAAGTGGCAGGGATCGATCCGGGTGGAGGAGCTAGTGTAACGTTTTGGAATGACTGCTGGGTTCCTCAGACGATTCTTGCGCATTCCTTTCCAAGAGTCGCCGTTGCCGCAGCTAGGCCCGAGGCTTGGATATCTGATGTCATAAACCGATTAGTTGAGGGTTTAGATTGGAAAATTGATTTTTCTATAAATTTGATGGGAGGGGCTGAGAGGGAAAAAGAGAGATTTTTCAGTTTCTTGAATTCTATTGATAACTTTATGGTCGTGTGTGGACTAAGCAGATTGGTTTGGTCCCCTGATCCCGACTCGAGTTTTTCAGTTCGTGCCATGTACAGGTTCTTGACGGATGGGCGATTCTCAGGGGTGTCCAGCTTTCCTAGTGATTCTGTTTGGAGGAACTGCATCCCTTCGAAGATTAATGCTTTCATGTGGATGGTGGCTCACAAGCGGATCTTGACGCTTGACAATATTCAGAAGCGGGGCTGTTCTATTGCTAATAGATGTTGCCTGTGTTGTAGGGAAGAAGAGTCGGTTGATCACTTGTTCGCAAGCTGTGAGTTCGGGAAAGAAGTCTAGACTGAAGTTAGGAGAGTGTGTGGTGGTTCTTTTGCTCCCCAAGAGCACATTTTCGACACCATTCAAAGCTGGAAGACTGATATTCCGGATAATTTGACTGATTGGATCGGGTTCTGCATCCTTCACGCTGTTTGCTGGCAAATTTGGCTCGAGAGAAACAAGCGGTTATTCCATGACATAAGCAAAAGCGCCAAAGAGGTTTTTTGGAAGGCGATCAGATCTACGGTGGAGTGGCTAGTTGCAAAAGGAAAGATCAGTAGGGAACAGGGTGTAGAGTGGTTTCGTCTGTCCGATCGTTGCTTTTCAGGTGTTGGTTGTTGGCGATGGTTTCAGGTGTTCAAGTGCTGGGCATGGGCTTTTGGTGTGGCCTGGTTCTCGGTTGTGTCTCAGCTTTTTTTATTGTTAGCTTGTTGCTGATTTTCGGTTACGGACAGGGGCTGTTCGGTCGGCCTAGTTCCTCGAGGTGCCTCCATCGCTTTCCTTTTCCTTTTTTCTTCTTCCTTCTTCCTCTTCCTTTTGTTTTTCTCTAGCTTGCTTTCTGTTTCGATTTGGCAGTTGCACCCCTGGTGCCGCTCCTTTACGCTTGTACCTTGGACTTGCTTTCTTTTTTTAATGCATTATTCACCCTTATAAAAAAACATAAAAGAAATTGTGGACACTGAAACTTAAGGCATACTTTAATCATATTACTGGTTTCGAATCAAGGGAGAAAAATCATGAGAAGTATACTTTACATAAATACAAATTAAACTGAATGATTTCTTCATGCCTACCTGCTCAAAGGCTAACCATTCTCTGTTTTTATGGTGGATGACTATGGGTTCAGTTATGTTTCTAGTCAATTTTCTGAACACGAAGCCGTTAGTCGATTTTAGGGAGGATTTCTGTCCCTCGAAAACTAGAATGGTCGGTTTGAGTTCTGCTTTGTAAATGAAAAGTTTGTTTTGCTGTCGTGAAATGATATATATGATTAGATAATAGTCTTAAACTATTATAGTTTCTTCTCCTAGCAGTTTAAAACCCACCGTTTTTGTTTTCATAGCAGCTTTTCAATTTTGTATTAATCTTGAGATTTGAGCCTTAATCTTGAATGAGCCTCGTGAAATCGTACCCAACTACCCATACCACTTGAAAAACAAATTTTGATGAGATAAATAAGCCAAGGCTCATATATAACCATTTCAACTTATGAACTTTGAATTTGATACAACTCGATCAGGTCATCTTAGTGAGGAATACCAACATGGTGTTGAAGAGTTTTTAGACTATGCTTTTCAAAGGAACGGGGGAAGTAATGAAATTAGATGTTCTTGTGTCAAATGTGTCAATGCAAGAGAAGAATCTCGTGGTACAATAGCTGTACATCTAAAGCTTCACGGAATTATGGCGAGCTACACATTTTGGTTTCATCATGGAGAAAGATTGGATGAGATGGGTGATCCAACAAATGGAACAAATATGCATTAGACTAATGATGAGATGCATCAACTGCTATGGGACTTGTATCCTAATATGGATTTGAATGATGGTGAAGATGGGATAGAGATGGATTGTGAGGACATGTATGATGAGGAACCAAATGCGGAAGCAAAGAAGTTCTTTAGATTTTTGAGTGAATCTCAAGAACCAGTATATAATGGTTGCAAGAGTTCTAAGTTATCCATGTTGCTCAAGCTCCTCCATATCAAAACTGTAGGCAAATGGAGTAACGCTTCTTTTACAATGTTGCTCAAGTTGTTAAAAGAAGACTTATTGCCTGAGGACTCATCTTTACCAGATTCATATTATGAATCGAAAAAGATAATTAAGGATTTAGGTCTCTCATACACAAAAATTGATGCTTGTCAGAATAGTTGTATCTTATTTTGGAAAGATAAGTAACAACTTGACAACTGTACAGTATGTAAGGCATCTAGATGGAAGATCGACAAGCTTAGTGGAGAGGTCATGCATAGAGCCAGTGGCGGATTCATAAAATTTTCACACGGGTGTCCTCTTCAAAAATTAAATTTAATTATATAATAAATTAAATAATTCGTATATTAAAAATATCATACTTGTATAATTTGTATAAATTTGTTATTAAATAATAAATTAAAATTCATATTTTGAAAAAATAATATAAATAAACTCCGTGTCTGCACTGTTCAAAAAAATCTACATATCCTACTAGACAATACTTCACGAACTTATCACATATTCGATTTCTAACCTTGTCCTTAATGTAGCTCAAAGTAGAAAAGACTCTTTCAACACTTGCCGTGTAACCATAAAATCAATTCAAAATTAAGGGTAGCGTGTACGTAGTTTAATTATTAGGTATTGAAAATAGTTGGGGATAAAGAAATAGCGTTTTACTATTGCATGATGTTTAAAATAGAATAACAAATGAGTAGCAACATACTTAGAATATGTTTGATAATAATAGTGTCCTAGGTTGGAATAACCCGGACTACCACTTATATTTTGTTAATCATAAGCAAACTATTATCGAGGGTAGGATAATCATTTTTTCAAATGTTAGGGTGTCCCGGATTACCAATTATATTTATACCCATACGAAACTACTACCGGAGTTGGATAATCGTTTCTCCAAATTTTAGGGGTGTCCCGGGACACCCCTAGAGGCCCATGTATCCGCCCCTGCATAGAGCTAATGGAAAAAGGATTCCAGTGAAAACCTTAAGATACTTTCCTCTGAAGCCAAGACTTCAAAGGTTATTCATGTCAACAAAAACAGCTTCTTTAATGAGATGGCATCACGCGAAAAGAACTAGTGATGGGGTGATAAGGCATCCAGCTGATTCCATGTCATGGAAATCGTTCGATAGTCGCTATGAAGAATTCGCATGTGACCCTCGAAATGTGAGGCTTGGTCTTGCTAGTGATGGTTTTAAACCTTTTGCAAATTGTAAGAAGTCGTATAACATTTGGCCTGTGGTGTTAATTCCGTATAACTTGCCTCCGTGGATGATTATGAACCCATCTAATTTCATCATCTCCATGCTTATTCCGGGTCCAGAAAGTCCAGGAGATGCAATTGATGTATATCTACAACCCTTAGTGGAGGAGTTGGAATAGTTGTGGAAAGAAGGAATAAGTACATTTGACGCCTCAAAGCATCAGAATTTTCAACTACATGCTGCATTAATATGGACTATTAATGATTTTCCAGCATACGACAATCTTTCTGGGTGGAGCGCAAAGGGAAGATTGGCTTGCCCCGTTTGCAACAAGTAAACTGTCTCTAAGGGGCTTTACAATGGAAACAAACATTGCTATATGGGGCATCGTCGTTGGCTCAACAAGGAAACTGTCGCTAAGTGGCTTTACAATGGAAACAAACATTGCTATATGGGGCATTGGCTTCGAATTGGGCACAGATGGAGGCGTGATAAGGATTCATTTGATGGCACCAAAGAGAGGAGATCTCGACCAAGAGCATATTCTGGGGATGATTTACTTGGCCAATGTCAGGATCTTGAAGGAATGAATTTAACGAAGTGTCCACACGCAAAAGTAAAAGTGTGCACCAAGCTAGGGGGGATAATTAGAATAAAAAAAGCATATTATTTTCCCTTCCTTATTGGACAAAACTTCTTTTACGACATAATTTAGATGTCATGCATATAGAGAAGAATGTTTGTGATAATGTTCTTGGAACAATCATGGGCTTGAAAGGGAAGATAAAAGACACAATCAAAACTCGGCTTGACTTGGAGGAATTGGGACTTATGAAACAGTTGCACCCAATTAGAAATGGGGATATAATGACTTTGCCAGATGCTGATTATGTGTTGCTGCAAGACAAGAAACGTGAATTCTGTCATTTTTTGAAGAAGTTGAAAGTTCCTTATGGATTTTCCTCTGATATTTCCGAGTGTGTGAACATGAATGAGAGGAAAATTTCTGGCTTGGAAAGTCATGATTGTCACATACTTTTGCGTCATATGATTCCTTTTGCAGTGCGTGGGCTTTTGCCGAAAGTGGTGTGTGATCCTCTAGTTGAGTTACCAGCTTATTTCAAGACCTTGTGCTCGAAAGCGCTAAGCTTGGAAGAAGTGCAGCAAATGAAGGATAGAATTCCAACTACTCTTTGTAAGCTTGAGCAAATTTTCCCACCAACATTCTTCGATGTCATGATGCATTTACCTATTCATCTAGCCGATGAGGCAATGCTTGGAGGACCAGTTCAATATAGGTGGATGTACCCTATAGAGCGCTACTTGTATGAAATTAAGTCATTCGTTCGCAACCGAACTCATCCAGAAGGTTCAGTAGCAGAAGGCTATATTGCTTTTGAGTGTATGACTCTTTGTTCAAGGTATCTAAATGATATTTGTACAAGGTTTAATAAGCTAGATAGGAACTATGATTGGAACGATATGAAAGAGTTCCTAAATTTCTGTCAAGTTGGACATCCACTAAGAGGTGGCAAGACCAGAGACCTTAGCACGCAAGAGTAGGAACAAGCTCACATGAATGTTATGAAGAATTCAGAAGAAGTGCAACCATTTTTGGAGTATGTTGAACTATACAACTTTCCATTTTATACTTCTTAGAAATATCTCAATAGTATTCTTAGTTTCATTGTTTTTAACTATGTAAAGAATTCAATAACATTGTTGCGGATACTCTACCATCGGAGAAGGAATGGACATCAGCTTTCATCAAGTGGTTTAGAACAAAAGTAAGTATTCGTCAAACTTTAGTACACATTATAGTAGTTGACATATTATTAGGCTGAAATCCAATAAGTTTTTTTTCTCTCTTGTAGGTTGCAAATTTATATAGAAACGATAATAATATGGAGAAAAGGAAATGGAACATCTTCTTTCACTCTCCCGGGGTCCCTCTCCCTCGGTTATGTGTTACAAAGGCTACATAGTAAATGGATACCGGTTCCATACAAAAGACCACGAAAAGCATTTGAAGACTCAAAATAGTGGAGTCATTATAGTTGGTGATGATGGAGTTAATACTGAGAAAATTGATTATTT